AAAAAAATTGTTATGCAAAAACTAAACAAGGAAAAGCAAACCTCATGAAACAGAGAAAGCCTTTTTCATGTGTTTGAATGACTTACTCTGATAATTCTCTCAGATCTAGTTTGGTTTAATTCTCCCCTCCCAGTCAGAAACCCTTCATCCAGCCATTCAGAAGAAAACTGAAGTTATAGGTGGATCTGGGAAAGCAAAGGAACCAAGAGAAACAAATCATGTTCCAAAGTGTGTTGTACCTGACATGGGCAGAGGGAGTATCCTCCCTCTTGGAGAGAAGACATGTTTCTGGGTCTCTGCATAAGCCTGTGGTTTATTCTGAAAGCTCATGCACACAAAAGCTCGGCACATTTCTATTCCAACAACGTGCCAGCTCAAGGGACACCCACAGCTCAATGCATGCTGCTAAAAGAGACTTGTTTTTGCTCCAAGAAAAGCTCAGAACCTGATATTTTACAGCTTTTATTCTCATATACACATATTTATTTTAAATAATTAATCCATTTAAAAATTATTTATTCATTGTATTGTTTGTTTCCAAAAACAAACAATACAATGGTACCAGTGGGGGGGGAGGTACCAGTGGAAGTTTTGAATCACTTGGAAATCACTATAGAAAACAGCTGATAATTAACAAAAATATATCATAATGCATTCCAAAGATAATTTTAGTTTTTGGTTGCTTTAGATTTCCATCTGGATCAACTCATCTGACATAAATTAAGATAATTAATAGAGTTTAATGAATGTGTTATAAGTGACTTTATTATTCAAGGTTCATTGAAAGTGATACCAAGAAGCTTTTTTCATACTTCACTAAAACATTCTAAACACGCTTGATTTTTGGACTTTGCTCCAAAGCAGTTGGAACTCTGTATTTTGTATCCTCATTAAAAAGCTTTGAGAATGGTCTGAAACAGCAGGTAAACCCTACTGAGTCTCGTCAGGTCATGGCCCTGCTGCAGTATAGTTCTGTATAATTGTAATTTTTATTTCAGTTTTGGTTATTTCAGTTACATTTTTAGACTCAATTGAAACGAGAAATGCTACATTGTCAACTAGTTGAAATAAAATATGTTTTTTTTTCTCTCTCTCTGTAAACTATAATAACCCTGAGCAGTCTGTGTGCAAATGGCCCAGTCATCCAAGCAGCTTTGCTCTCATACAATTGAGGATTAAGATTTAACAATGGACACATTCCTGAACAGAATTAGGATTTCGTTTTTCTTTTTTTTGATTAGTTTATAGGTTATATAACCTTTTTGTGTCTTCAGACATCAACATTTCTACTTTTGAATTATTATTCATTAGTTGGAGTCTGTGAAAGGATTATTTGTGGAAAATAATAAATATAACCTATGTATATTGTCACACAAAGACCAATTGCAGCAAAAATGAGGCGAGCAAGATCTAATAAGCACATATAACCAGGGTGCGAACTACGGGGGAGCTAGGGGGAGCTCGGCTCCCCTTAATAAGACATGGGCTCCCCTGAAAAAAAATATATTGACAATGTGTTATTTTGACGTGCAATTTCAGTTTTGTGTAATGTGATCATCGTGGATTATTATGTGTAAAATTGCAAAAATATCATTCATTCATGCATGACGGCGATTTAAACCTAATTCACTTCAATAAAGATAACTATACATGCTATTCTTGTCATGAGCATCAAGGTGTGGGGGCGCTGCGGTGCAAATTCCACTCATGTTTAGTACATGTTAACCCAAAGATTCGTAGAAAAAATATAAACGCTGGACTCTGTGGTCGATTCTGTGTTAAAGTAAGGCATGTTATTCGCAATTATGTGTTGTGGCTGGGTTGTTATAGGTCTGCCTGACTCTCCAAAATAAACCCTCAGAGAAGTATATGAGACAGACAGAGGAAGAGAAGCTGTAGAAAGGCCATGAAGGCCGCTGTAGAGCCGTACTCCTTCACTGACACAGACATGAGCGGCTGAAGAGCCACTGACCCACAACACAGCGCTTGACTGACACTCGCTGTTTTCATTCACCCCTCCAACCTCCACAGCTCCTTCTGGAGCGACCCACGACTGCCAGTATAACAAACGTCTGCTGTACTTCCATTTACAACGAGGTAGAGTTCAGTTCATACACACCCGTAACCCATAAACACATCCACACAGCTCCCGGTCCTCAGGCTTTTATGAGAAAACCGCTTTATTGCGAGCTACTAATAGCCAATTAGCATTGTGTGTTCGGTGGCCGGCCGTTCCAGGGTGTGGATGGACAATCTGCCTCTCCAGGTGTGTTTTCTGCAGTTAATACACCGTATGCAGACAGTCGTGCCCACTCAGTCAACAGAAACGGGAATTCTGACGTAACTTCCTCTGTGTGCTGGCAGCCCTTACGAAAAAGAAGTTTAGTCAAGTGTGCTATTAGTATACTTCTTTTAAACTAAAAATAGGAAAGTATACTTTTAGTCTACTTTTTATGTACTTCTCAGAAATGGGCTTTATGTACTTCTCAGAAATATACTTAAAATGGCATTTAAGTATACTTGACTTATACTTAGAAAAAGTCTAAATATATTTTAGCTATAATTGTGCTCCTAGAATCCGTGTTTTCATTGTTATACTGTAGGGGGCGCTAGTACACATCTTCTGTACAGAATTTCCAAAAAACACAAGTGAAGAAGAAACCGAAACAACAGATGCTTCCACATGTAATCTAACAGATCATCAGACATAAACAGCATCAAAACTGTGTAACATTATGGAATAAAATGTCGACCAATGAAGATGTAATAATGACTGTCAAGCTTTGGGGTGTTGATCGACTTTATCTACGTTTTGATTATCATTCTGAATCCAATTCATAGTCTTTTTTTCAGCTTTTTGTTCAAAATTTAATTTTTTTATTTTTTTATCACACACCCACATTCAAGTGTTTATGAAAAAGAATGCATGATGCTAGAATAATTTTTTTTGTTTACAAGCAGATACCCTGTTCTTTTGATGTTTTGTATGTTCAGATATTCATGTAACAAAATATATACAAATTAATACCTAAATAGGGACATAGTAGTATACTTAAAGTATGATGTAAAGTTCACTTAAAGAAAACTTACGAGTATACTTGTAGTATAAAACTACTAAACTAGTAGTTTACTGAGACTATACTTCAAAGTGTACTGAAAATGCTACTACAAGTATTTAATTAGTAAGCTATCAGTATACCTATAAGTTCACTTTTATTATAGTTGCAGTACAAACTAAACATTTTGATGTAAACTAGTTGTGTACTCAAAGTTTACTACTGTTATACTTAAAAGTATACTTTTATATATTAGAAAGTGGGCCAATTTAGTCCCAAGGAGTATTGAAATAGTACACTTACAAGTATACTACTAGTACACTGATATTTGTATACTTACTACATAAAATATACTTAAAAATATACTTGAACTTTACTTAAGTATACTTACTAAAATAAACTTGAAGTATACTACTTTTTGGTAAGGGTATTCACTGATGATGTCATTTTGTAAAGAAGCACTATGTATCTGCGCACATACGCATTTCTATAGACTAAACATGTAATAGCCTATGTGTGCACATGACCGTTTTCACTAATTTACGTTTTTGACATTTACACAGAGACTACAATTATTTTCAAAAACGTGCACTTTGAAACACCGTTTCAAAAGTTGGTCAGACTAGTTCTTAAAACTCAGTCTTAACATGAAAGTTTATGCAACCGGATCCAAAAGATCTGAGATTGGTCATTTGAAACAGGAAAGTGCTAGTTACATGTATGCTAATGAAATACATACATATATATATATTTATATATATATAAAATGTTAAATGATTTATATTTTTACATAGTAAACTCAAAAGCTGTCAACAGAGTCAATATTTATCCTGCAATAGTTAAACCATTTCTTTTTAAAATATGTGTCATGCTAGTCCTGTTACATTCTGAATGGGGTTGAATGTTACAAGGTTGAAGATCAATTAAAAACTGCACAACTACATATTAAGTCAGTGCTGTGCTTTGTGCACAAAATATAGTGAAATATGAACAATAAAGACCTCCGTTACCTCCGTTTGAACCATGTGTAGAAAACATTGCTTCTTTCAATATGCTGATAGAAAGACCACTATTTTTAAAAAATGATATCACTGCACAACAGGGTTTTTAAGAAAGACAACACAATTCAATTTTTCTATACTTAAAAGACTTAGTATTTTAATTTCAACTAAATTTAGCAAAATGAATGCTTACATTTTTTTTATAAAAATAATGGTGGGTTCATGCAAATGGGCTGATATTACTAATAAAAAGTTATATCGTTTGCTTTATGTTTACTTCATAAGGGTTTTGAAGTATTATAAAGTACACAATCACAGTTCATAAGTAATGTTGCCAAATACCCCAATGTACATTACATCCTGTCCATTACTTTCAGTTGCATACAGTTATATATATATATATATATATATATATATGACCTCAATGTATACCATTATGACATGACAAGAAACTCCTATGAAACAGTGAGCTTATAATGACCTGACACAATAACAGTAATTCTATGTAACAATGTTCTAGTCTGATGAACCATATTATCCATACCTAGGCATGTATACTTTGAGTTTAATATTTTACTTTCTAATGTTGATACTACTTGGTGTCCTTTAAATGTGTAAATAATGCAAATACAAATATATGTATTAGATCCAGGAAATAACAGCATCCGATCAATAAATCTACAAATTAACACAATTTCATGACCGAAACCTTTCCATTTGGCATGGATATGGATATCTCCTCTAACACTTTTTGGAGCAATACACACATTTGACTTTCCAAAAGTACTGGAAGCATAACTTCAGATAGTGGTCTCCTGGTCTGGGTTTTCGCTGCATTTTACAATAGCTGAAGATACATTCCCATTGCCAGAAGAAACACCATTGTCATCCTGTTCTGGACAACTAAATTTAGCAAAATGAATGCTTACATTTTTTTTATAAAAATAATGGTGGGTTCATGCAAATGGGCTGATATTACTAATAAAAAGTTATATCGTTTGCTTTATGTTTACTTCATAAGGGTTTTGAAGTATTATAAAGTACACAATCACAGTTCATAAGTAATGTTGCCAAATACCCCAATGTACATTACATCCTGTCCATTACTTTCAGTTGCATACAGTTATATATATATATATATATATATATATATGACCTCAATGTATACCATTATGACATGACAAGAAACTCCTATGAAACAGTGAGCTTATAATGACCTGACACAATAACAGTAATTCTATGTAACAATGTTCTAGTCTGATGAACCATATTATCCATACCTAGGCATGTATACTTTGAGTTTAATATTTTACTTTCTAATGTTGATACTACTTGGTGTCCTTTAAATGTGTAAATAATGCAAATACAAATATATGTATTAGATCCAGGAAATAACAGCATCCGATCAATAAATCTACAAATTAACACAATTTCATGACCAAAACCTTTCCATTTGGCATGGATATGGATATCTCCTCTAACACTTTTTGGAGCAATACACACATTTGACTTTTTAAAAAGTACTGGAAGCATAACTTCAGATAGTGGTCTCCTGGTCTGGGTTTTCGCTGCATTTTACAATAGCTGAAGATACATTCCCATTGCCAGAAGAAACACCATTGTCATCCTGTTCTGGAGCTTTTAATTGGTTCTTTAGTGCAAGCTTCTTTTCGCGATGAGACAGTCTGTTGTACAGGATTCCCCACAACACGTAGGATAAGGAATACAGGCCATAAATAAGACCCAAGAAAGCATTTCTGTAGGGCAAAAAAAGAAAGACAGAATCTTTATATCTGTGAAAGTTTTTGTATGCAGTTTTGTATGCAGTCTTTATGACTACAAACTGTCAACATGGCGGTAATGAAATCTTTTCTAGAACAAAGGGTTAAAAATGTTGTAGAGTTGCAGAAATGTCCATTTTTGAGCTGATGGTGGCGCTAGTGGGTATCTGAGGATTATAATTCTGAGGATTATTCTGGTGTTTCAAAACAGTTCCACAACAACAAACACACTAGGGTATCATACACCTTTGGTGTTTTGCCCCTTACAAATGTATGACCAAATGCCATAAGGAAACATGCATGTAATCAGAAATAGACTTCAGATAACCTTTGCTATCATGTGCCTGTCCAATATTTTTCTTCAAACACTAAGAAATAAGATAAAGCTATTCACTAATTGTATTGTAATTGCTAGCTGCAAACAGTTCACATTCATGACTAGTTACCATGAATGTGAATGCTTTCAGAAGGATCAAGCATGTTCATGGTTGTCACTGTAGCATTTTGCCAAATTAAATTTAAGGACATATAATTTTTTCCAATGTTACAATACATAAATATTGTGGCTCTGTGGTTTTATACAGACATTACTCTTTGTTTGTTTTTTGTGGACCATCTAGCCAATGATTGGAAAAGTGTGTATGAAAATGCTGAATTTCTGCCAGTCTAAGTTAACTAACCTGAAGGCACCAGAATCATAGATACGACACGCTCCTCTCCCACCACATTGTTTTGTGCCCCATTTCAGACAGGTCCTGTCAATCAAGGCTCCGAAATAAATAGGAGGGGGAATGCCACCTAGAAAAGTTTCTCAGATCAGCTAAAGATACTTTTTTTTATCTGTTGTTTAATAATCTTGTGTTGAGAATTAAATAAATCTTCTTACCCAGTGTCCGAACAATCAAAATATAAATACCAAGAGCCAAAGACTTTAGTTCTGGATTTATGGTTCTAAGAAAAAAACAGTCATGAGGACATGTATTCATTTTTAAACCAAAGATTAAATTGGGTTTTTCGTATTCAGTTCTTAAACAAAGATACCATTTCACATAATTTAATTTTGATTTGTGCCCCTGGCCCTAACGGGTTGGTTAATTTCAAACAATATATACAAGACTATACCAATAAAGAAACATATTTTTGTATCATGAGGACCCACATACTGTATTACACAGTTTTCCTTAAAGACAATCTAGTCTCTAAAGGTGGCTATTGGTTTACTTTTGGGGAGATTTATTACCTGAGCAGAATAATGTAACCTGGTGTGGCCCCACAAGCCGAGAGAAAGGCACCAATGACTGTCACCGCCATGTAGAACTTAAACATGTAGTCACAATCACTCTTGCGAGGGCACTGGCCCAACACTGATGACATGTTTGCAAATGGGAGCGGCGACTCTCCAATACAGGTGCAGTTGTGGAATACCTTTGAAAAGAATGAGATTTTGTCAACTACTACAATACCAGCAAATGTAGTAGGGTCTAAATATCCGAGACAGTACATATGAAATCTGGGACTTTTTTTGTTTGTTGGTTTGTTTGTTTCATTTAAACCTAGCAATAAACAGTTTTAGGATTTTGGACATGACAGTGAAGGACAAAGAAGACATTTAGGTTAAACAAATATTTAACACTGATTCTAGGTCACTAATCAAATATAAGCAAACCGTGTTCACTTTTTTATACAAAAGGTCAGATTTCATTGAAGCACACAACATGCTCTTTGGAACATTCTCAAATTATGCTGGCATTACATGGATCAACAGGTTTGCATAAACCGGTCCATGGCAGCTCGAGAGCTGCTGTCAAAAGGGGGACATAGTAAATACCGAAACATTTTGAAAATCAAATATATTTTTCAGTACAAAATTTTACTCAAATTATTATTCTGACAACATGATTTATGATAAAAAAAAGAAGAAAAAAAAATTTACACTGGTATTTTCACTAGTGGTCTCAGATTTTTGGACCCTATTTTTAGGATTTCATAATTGTCACGGTGCAGGGTGTCTTCTCGGCTTCCCCTGCGGTCTGTGTTGTCCTGTCATGTTCGGTAGCTCGTGGTCTGGGCAATCAGCGCTGATCTCGCAGCGGGGGTTCGCGGATCACGAGCTGACTCTCCCCACCTGTCGCTCATTCCCCCACTCCCTTATATGTCTCTGCCTTTCTGTCCTTCGTCGTGAGTAGATTGTTTTGTCCTTGCTCGTGTTTTTATGTAACTTATGAGTGCAAGCATCAGTGTCTGACCCTCTGTTCTCCTGTGCTTAAGGACTCGTAGTACGGAGATCCGGCAGCTCGAGTGGTCCGCAGTGTCTGCCGGCCAGCTCTGGAATCTCCGCTCACCTGAGCAGCAATTAACTATTGTTTATGTTATTTTGTGTTTTGTGGCGAGAATAAAGAATCTCCTTTCTCACCACTCTGCATCTGAGTCCTCTATCTATCCTAGACCCTGAAAATAATATAGAGTACACATAAAGCCTAAGATAGGGGAAAAATCCCTCCTTAAGAACAACATCCATATACTGATAAACTGTAACACATTTACACTTGAGTTTAACATGTAGAGTATGCATTACCCAACATACTATTATGGTAATCAAATGGAAATAATTAACAATTTAGTTGTAATGGCAAAAAAAAATGAAAATTATGAAAGATCCCTGGGGGCATCTTGGCCCAACTGTCATCTAACCTTACAGAACATTTTATCTAAATGCCAAATTAATCATAATAATTTTATGTTCGTAAAATTTAACTAAATTGGTAAAATTGTGCATCTTGGCAAAACGCTTGTTTTGTTTACTGTGTGGAGACGGGCTGATATCGCATTTGGTCTCGTTCTGTATCGCGTATCTTGTCAGTGTCTGCGATTGCTTGCCCATTTGTTGGGAAAAAAATAAGGAAAGTGTGTCCAGCTGATTTAATTTAGTATTCTGTTAGACGGGTATAAAAAAGCTTTGTTTACCGCGGCAGCCGTCGCGTGACGGCCTCCTCGTGTGAAGACCGAAAAGAGTGTAGAGACCATCGACTCTACCATGCGACTCTACCGGGCAGGGACACCGGCAAAGGATAAGTATCTTAAGTTTTGAAATTTTGTTGTATTCATTTGTCATTTTTATTTAATTTCTTTATTTTTAAAATGTGTATAGTAAGTATTTATAAAGTTTTAGTTTTTAGTTTTGGATCTGTTTTTAGTTGTTTTAATACTACAATTGATTGCTTCTGCTGTCCTCATTTGTAAGTCGCTTTGGATAAAAGCGTCTGCTAAATGACTAAATAAATAAATAAATAAATTTACTGAAATGTAATGTTTCATAATGACCAATAAAATACAGAAGCATAGTTACACAGAGATGTATCTGAAAAGCAAATCATTTCAACACTTTTTAACCTAAAAACATATCACAATATAGCAACAGTTACAATGCAGTGAGACTTTTAATTATTCCACTCAGTTTTAGGTGTGATGTGATGACTTTGTGTGTGTGTGTGTGTGTGTGTGTGTGTTTATTTACGTTTACACCCACACCTGCATACATTTACTTAGCTATCTAAATGGGAACATTCCATGGAAGACTTCTGTTTTATTTTCTGTATTTTTAGTTATTTTATATTATTATTATTTTATTTTTTTTCCTATGGTCAGATGAAACTAAAAAATGTGCTTTTTAGCAGCAAACACTGGAAATGGGTTTGGTGCACACAGGTCTAAAAAGTGTGTTCAGATACATGGCATCATGGATTCTATCAAACAGCAACAGATAAAAAATCAAAACCTGACTGTCCCTGCTAGAAATCTTATAATGGGCCATGGTTGGATCTTCCGTTAATACAGTGATCCAAAAAATAATAATAATAATAATAATAATATATATATATATATATAAAAGATCAAAAGGATTAACAATGCAGATTTATTTTCACAGACTTCTTTGTTCATATTTACCAAGGGTGTCAATAATTTTGGCCACAACTATATTGAGGTCTATTGGCAAAACTGATTCAGCAATAGTCGTGTAGATGTCTGGAAAGAATCTCTTACCATGTCCCTGCCATCCCCAGTGGAGGTCTGGCAGCCAGCGAGGCAGGGGGAAGCATAGGTCAAGCCATTGCTGGCACATATGGGATCCCAGTGTTTGAGAGAGCAGGAGCAACCCATATTACATGAAGAAATTAGTGTATTTTGCTGGTAGGACACCTGTGGAGCCCTGTTAGAAAGACATTGAATAATTAAACCACTTAAAATAAGTTTAATTACACTTATTGAAGTTAAAAATTACTGTATGCTCCTTGGCTTACGAAAATCATTGTTGTACTCTTTTGGAGATCTGGGAGAACCCTAAGGCCATTTTAATGTCTCAAAAATACTTAACAAAAAACTGATCAAAACAATTATTTTCCTAATCCTATAAAAACATTTGGTTTTGTCAGAGGAATACCAGTCAAAAGGTTTGGAATAAGTAAAAAGTTTCTTTAAAAGAAGTCTCTTATTGCGCACCAAGGCTGTAATTATTTGATTATTATTTGATTTGATTACAATTTAAAAGAACAATTTTTCTTCTGTTGTAATATATTTAATTGATTAATTAAGCACCATGTGACACAAAGAAGTAATGGCTGCTGAAAATACAGCTTTGCCATCACAGGAATACATTATATTTTAAAATATAAGAATATAAAATGGTTATATTTCATAATATTACTATTTTACTGCCTTTTTTATCAAATAAATGCAGCCTTTGTAAGCATAAGAGACTTCCTTCAAAACATCAAGTAAAGCATTAATTATGATCACTTTTAACTGGTAGTGTATAAAAAGAATTTGCGGGAAAAGAAGTTAATATCAAAATTTTTTATTTTTACACAAAGAATTGGGGCCTCTGAGACCCAAACAGAACATGGTTAAAAGATCCAATTCCATTGACCACTCAAAGCTGCCAGAGAAAATGATGATAAACAACTGAACTGTAGTACTTGTTTACCCGTGATATGACACTGTAAGACCAGCCACTTGTGAGTTGTCACATTGCAGGAAATACTGAATAAGCAGCGAAGAGAAAGCCAGAAGAGACGTTCCAGTGCAGATCTTGGTTGCTCCGAGAACATTCAATTTGAACTTCTTCATTATAAACCCACCAGTGATGATTCCCAAAGCCACAGCTGGTAGATTCATAATGCCTATAAAGACAAAAGATGATTTCATTCATGATTGTTTGTTAATTTAAATAATTGATTTTATTAGATATTTATTTTAGTTCGTTTTGAAGTAAAACATGTTACAACACAACATTTCATTTAATTAAATAAATAAATACATAAATAAAGATTTTAAACATTCCATCGGCATATCATAAATTTATAAATTGTATTGGACATTATTGCACCTTCTGAACGGTAACAGGGCTGACGATTTTAATTTAACATTAAAAGATTTGATGTGTGTTGCTTGCTGCAAAATTTTAACTTTCTATTATCTGTTGTTCCCTTTCAGTCAGTAACCTTCGACATTACGTCGACATATTGACATATGGGGATTCCCTTGGGAACACCAATCACCTCTGAGTAGTAAAAGAAAAGGCCAATGAACATTGGCAAATGGAATTTGCTTGCCCAGCCACTTCCTTGTACACACGGGTATATAATATGGCAGCGTGCATCCACTTATTCAGATTTTTACTTTGGAGCCGAGCCGGTTGCAGCTGTGATAGCACAATTGTTCTTACAATTCCCCTCACAGAATGGGAAGCTCTCTTTCGCTGGAAAGGATCATTATTTACAACGCATTAAGCAGTGTTTTGCTGGTCGGAGCACAGTTAAGTGCTGCCACTAAGCCCTCCAAGCGGACAGCGAAGCAGCCCTGACAAGGGAAATCAAGAGATGGAGGGGATTGTTCTTTCCCAAGAGGTGGTGACAGCACCGCTCCTTCCCCCAGAATAGGGCTTTTGCTGCCTTTGTTTTCTGTTCTGATGAGCCAGCGGTACCCAAATTATCAATGAAAGAGCAGTTTCCTCAGTCTCTGGGTCATACTCGATGTAGTCAGGCAGCAATGGACGTTTCCTCACTTCCAGCCTCGTCCTCCCCATTCACCACACGCCAAAAGCTCACACCTCAAAGACCAGGTAAGTGCTACTCCACTCTCACCCCCTCTACTCCAGGCCCCAGTGCTCCCTGTCGCTGCCCCTCCGCGGGTGCATCGATTGTCCCTTTGGTGGCGCTTGTACAGAGTCTGGGAGCCTGGCTAGTGCTTCCCAGCCCGTCTCGCTGGCTCATTCGGACCGTCAGACTCGGCTATGCGATTCAGTTCGCCCGGCGTCCCCCCAAAT